GCCCCAGGGTGAGCCCAGACGTCTCACTTACACTTGGAGAAAAAAAAAAAAAACAGCTTGAGGGTGGGCATTGGCACAGTGGTTAGAGGCTGCTTGGGATGCCTGCACTCCATAGTGGAGTGCCTGGGTTACAGTCCCAGCTCCGCTTCTGATTCCAGCTTCCTGCTCATATGCACCCAGGAAGGCAAGGGGCAATGCCCTAAGTACTTGGGTCTCTGCCACCCAGCCAGGTTGACTTCCAGGTTCCTGTCTTTGGACTGGTCCAGCCCTGGCTCTTTCTGGTATTTGGGAAGTGACTTGGCAGGTGGAAGATCTCTCTGTCTTTCTATCTCTCTCTCTGTCACTTGGTCTCTGCCTCTCTCTCTGTCTCTGCCTTTCAAATAAAATGAATATGTATGAATAAACGTTTTTTAAAAGACCAGTGTGAAATACACTGAAGTGGCCGGCGCCACGGCTCACTAGGCTAATCCTCCGCCTAGCGGCGCCGGCACACCGGGTTCTAGTCCCGGTCAGGGCGTCGGATTCTGTCCCGGTTGCCCCTCTTCCAGGCCAGCTCTCTGCTGTGGCCAGGGAGTGCAGTGGAGGATGGCCCAGGTCCTTGGGCCCTGCACCCCATGGGAGACCAGGAGAAGCACCTGGCTCCTGCCATCGGATCAGTGCAGTGCGCTGGCTGCAGCGCGCCAGCCGCGGCAGCCATTGGAGGGTGAACCAATGGCAAAGGAAGACCTTTCTCTCTGTCTCTCTCTCTCACTGTCCACTCTGCCTGTCAAAAAAATAAATAAATAAATAAACTAAAGTACTCAGAATAGACGTGGTATCTGGTGCACACGGGCCAAGGTTGCACATAATTTTGGGTTCTTTGTATTTTCTAAATTTCTATGGTAATTAGCAATCCATTCTATAATCAGATAAAAATGTCAAAGTTCTAGCTAGATGGGAATAAGAAGATCTAGTGTTATATTGCACAGGAGGGTGGCTGTAGATAATGATAATGCATAGTACATCTTTAAAAAGCTTTTTAAAAGAAAGGGTTTTTAAGCTTTTTGCCGTAAAGAGATGAAAAATGTTTGAGGAAATAGATATGTTTACTCTGATTAGAACATTACACAAAGTATACAAGTATTGAGACATCACATAGTGTCCTATAAATATGTCTAATTTTTATGCATCAGTTCAAAATAGTCATTTAAAAACTTATACAGAGAGGAAAGCAATCAATGAGGGCTACTTTGAATGGTTTTACATGATTGATAGCTCCATTTCTCAGATGTGTTGCTCATCCAGCATCATTTTCTCTTTCCTTTTTTTTCCATGCTCATTTCTTACAGCCAGCACTCATCATAAAGGATTCCATTCACCAGGCATTTCACTAGGTATATCACTAGGTACATCCCATTTCACTAGGTACACAGTGCCCATCCCAGGCACTGTGTCCAATATCCAACATGCATGATAATCCAGAGAGCTGAGCCATCCTCATTTCTCTTTCAGACAGGAAAGCCACTGGACTCACTGTTGGCTGCCCAAATCCTGGCTCCTGAGCACTATTCTCTCTTTTTACCATTTCCCATCTCCTCTCATCATGGGTGGGTGGGCACTGTGGCACAGCAGGTAGAGTCACCACCCAGGATACCTGCATCCCGTATCAGAGCGCTGGTTCAGGTCTCAGCTACTCTGCTTCTGATCCACCTTCCTGTGAATGCATCATGGGAGGCAGAAGATGATGACCCAAGTGTTTGGGCTCCTGCCACCCACATGAGAGACTTGGATGGAGTTCTGGGCCTCCTGACTCGCCCTGGACCAGCCCTGGTTCTTGCAGGCATTTGGAGAGTGAGCCAATGGATTGAAGATCTATCTCTCTGTCTCTCTCTCTTTCAAATGGTTGAAAAATAAACAAACATTTGGGCTGGCGCTGCGGCTCACTAGGCTAATCCTCCGCCTGTGTCACCGGCACTCTGGGTTCTAGTCCCTGGTTGGGGCACTGGTTCTGTGCCAGTTGCTCCTCTTCCAGTCCAGCTCTCTGCTGTGGCCCGGGAAGGCAGTGGAAGATGGCCCAATTTTTGGGTCCTGCCCCCGCATGGGAGACCAGGAGGAAGCACCTGGCTCCTGGCTTCAGATCAGCGCAGCACGCTGACCATAGCAGCCATTTGAGGGGGTGAACCAACAGAAAAAAGGAAGACCTTTCTCTCTGTCTCTGTCTCACTAACTCTGCCTGTTAGAAAAAAAAAAAGAAAGAAAAGAAAAAGAAATAAACATTTGAAAATTTTCTCAACAATATTGTAGTCATGATCCAAGACTTCTCAACTTCAGCATGATTGACATTGGGGCAGATCATTCTCAGTCATGAGGGGGCTGCCCTGTGTCCATGGGGTATTTAGTAGCATCCCTGGCTGGAAGGAACCCAAAATTATACACCCAGCCACAAGATGCCATAGCAACCCCATCCCTACCACACACACCCAGCTATAAAAACCAGACTTTCTCCAGGCATTGCCAAATGTTCCCAAAAGCAAAGATCACCCTCCTTGAGAACTGCCCAGGCAGCCGCTCTTGGCTAGTTATGGAAAGGATTACAGAGCTCTTCTAGATGAACGCTCGCCGATCAAAGCCCATGGGAGCCCTCTGGCAATTGAAGCTCAGTTAGGCAGCTGCCACCTGCTAGCGCATTCCAGGGCAGGCCTTGAAAGCTGCTTGCTGCGCCCTGGCAATAAGAGTTGCAGGCTGAAGCAGGATGGTCTTGTCTCTTGTCCTGGCAGCTGGGATTGGGATGGATAACATGGGCAGTTCCTGGCCAGTGAAGGGTAAGGGATCCAGGCTGGTCTGCAGTTGGCACTGCCAAAGAGAGTCCACAGGCCCAGCTCCTTAAAAAAGAAAAGATTTATTTATTTATTTGAGAGGCAGACTTAGAGTCAGAGAGAGGGAGAGACAGAGAGAGAGGTCTTCCATCCACTGGTTCACTTCCCCAAATGGCTGCAACAGCTGGAGCTGGGCTGATCTGAAGCCAAGAGCTAGAAGTTTCTTCCAGGTCTCCCACATGGGTGCAGGGGCCCAAGCACTTGAGCCATCTTCCACTGCTTTCCCAGGCCATCAGCTGGGACGCTGGATCAGAAGTGGAGCAGCCAGGACTCAAACCGATGCCCATATGGGATGCTGGCATGGCAAGTGATTGCTTAGCTTATTAGACCACAGCACTGGCCCCAGACCCAGCTCTTGATACAGATCCTGCAGGAACTCAGATATCATTTCAAGTCCTTGCCCTACTTCTGCTAGTGGTGTGGACTCCCTAAGTACCTTTCTCTGTTTTCGCATCAGCCTGTCCCAGCTCTGGTTCTTGTGAGCATTTGGCAAATGGAAGATCTGTGTCTGTTTTGCTTGCTGTCTCTGAGTTTCAAATAAATAAATGAAGCTTTTAAATGGCTAGATTTGCATGTACTGACATGGTACAATGTCCAAGGTATATTATTAAGTAAAAAATAACATATTAGAAAGATATTTTTGTTCAATAACAATGATATCATATATGGTAGTATAAGCATAAGCATTTTATTTTTTATTTTGTCTTTAAAGATTCATTTATTTTATTTGAAATGCAGAGTTACAGAGAAAGTGGGGGAGAGAGAGACAGCGAGCGAGCGAGCGATCGATCTTTCATCTGCTGGTTCACTTCTCAGATGGCCACAAGGGCAGGAACTGAATCGATCCGAAGCCAAGAGCCAGGAGCTTCTTCCGGGTCTCCCATGTGGGTGCAGGGGCCCAAATACTTGGGCCATCTTCCGCTGCTTTCCCAGGCACATAATCAGGGAGCTAGATCAGAAATGGAGCAGTCAGGACTCAAACCGGCGTCCATATGGGATGCTGGCACTATAGGTGGAGGCTTTACCCTCGACCCACAGCACCAGCCCCAAGCATAAGCATTTTTAAAACTCTGGGGGCAGGCACTGCGGCGTAGTAGTTCCTGTGGCGCTGGCATTCCACGTGGGCGCCGTTTCAAGTCTGGGCTGCTCCTGTTCTGATCCAGCTCCCTGCGGATGCACCTGGGAAGGCAATAGAAGATGGCACAAGTGCTTGGGCCCCTGCAGCCACATGGGAAACTCAGAATAAGCTCCTGGCTCCTGGCTCCTGGCTTCAAACTGGCCCAGCTCCAGTTATTGTGGCCGTTTGGGGAGTGAACCAGCAGATGGAAGACCTCTTTCTGTCTTTCCCTCTCTGTAATTCTACCTCTCAAGTAAATAAATAAATAAATCTTTAAAAAACAACAACAACAACAAAAAAAACCTCTGTAGGAATATGTATCAAATTGTTAGCATTGGTTCTCCCTAAAGCATAGAATGAGACTTGCTCTATCTTGTGAATTTCTGTACAATTAATTTAGTAATAAAAGTCAAGTGTATGGAAATGTCCTCATAGAAAAAATTTTTATTTATTTTCATTTTATTTGAAAGGCAGTGAAAGATAGAGACATACAAAGAGAGATCTTCCACATGCTGGTTCACTTCCCAAGTGCATGCCACTATTAGGGCTGGACCAGCTTGAAGCCAGGAATCCAGAACTCAGTCTGAGTTTCCCAAGTTTGCGGCAGGGATCCAATTATTTCGCCATCACCTGCTGCCTCCCAGAGTGCACACTAGCATAAAGCTGGAATCAGGAACAGCACTGGGACTTGAACTCAGGCATTCTTAATATGGGATGTGGCCATCATAAGCAAGGTCTTAGCCATTGCACCAAACATCCATCTCAGGGGAAAAAAATTTTTTTTTTTAAAAATTGAGCCTTCAACCTGAGCCCATTCATACTATCAAACACAAGCAGATGAAGACTGGATGGAACTCCCAGAATGTGAATACAGTGATTGACCACAGAGGGATAATGGGCCGTTTGTGGCACTCGTGTGGCCCTTACAGAGGCCAGCCCGCCCCGATGCGCCCTATGTGTTTAACCTGGGGTGATTCTGGATGTAGTCTTGCCACTGTAACCACTATCACTGGCACCTGTCTCCCCAGGATGGACGACATCCAGCTCTGCAAGGACATCATGGACTTGAAGCAGGAGCTGCAGAACTTGGTCGCCATCCCAGGTAACCATGTGGGACTTCACTGGGCGGTGACCAGCTGCTCAGGCCTGCAAGGGCCTGCCGCTGGGCTCCAGAAGACAGAGCTCGTCTCTTCTCCTAGAGGGGCCTCGCTCTTGCAGCGTAGCACTCCCCAAATGCATGTCTTCACCCCAGACACACGGTTCAGTCTCTCCAAGTCAGGCAGACTCAGGCTCAAGTCCGAATTCTGCCTGCCTCCTTGACCTTGGGGAAGTCACTGTCTCTGAGACTCAGTTTCTCCTCCTCCTCTGAAATGGGTGTAGTAATAGCAACAGCACCTGACCCAGGGGTATAAATATCACCAGGGTGAGCAAGGCAGCACAGACCAAATCCTGCCTGTTATTTGGCCCAAAGAGTCCAGTGAGCATTAGCAATTATCACCGTTCTTTTCCTGTTTGGGAATAGGCAGAGTATAGTCGTTAGGATTCTGACTTTGGAGTCAAACCTGTGTTTGCTAGTTGTTGAGGACATTACTTCCTTGGTTCCTTCTCCCCCAGAAACCCTCCCCTGCCCATCCTGCTGGGGCAGGTGCTCTCTGTGGGACTTATCCCCATCAAAGTCCTTAGCGCATAGCTGTGCATCGATTCATATGTCTCTGTCTAGATGCCATGCTTCTTGAGGGTACACACGAGGGCCTGGTAGGTGCTAAAGGGAAGTTCACTGGGTGAATGAACACAGCTCTGTCAGACGAACCATCTGACAAGGAGCATCAGAGGCTGGATAAGTCCCCTCCCCACCCCCACCATCCTTGACTTGAACACTGTCACTATTCTGTCAGCTGAGAAAGCGTGCGGTGTGCCAAGAGGCTGCTATGCAGCAGGCCCCAAGCTAGGTGCTGCACTGAAGGTGCTGAACAGAGAAGGATTCCGTGCTCTCAGGGGCTCACAAGTCAGTGGAAACAAACAAGGCCTTGCACACAGGCGTGCCTGTACTGAGCAAGGGAGCAGCTACTACCAAGCAAGCAGTGCAGTGCAAGGAGCTGTAGCTCAATGTTTCTCAACCCCGACACATGGACACGTGTGGGGGGTGTCAAAATGGCAATGTCATCATCTGGGGGTTGAGGGCTCCGTGTTGTGCCTTATGGGATTTGTGGGCAGCATCCCTGGCTTCTGGCCACTACCTGCGAGGAGCACATGTCCCCCTCCTGCAGTTGTGCCACCAAAAATGTCTGCAGATGTTGCTGAATGTCCCCCAGGGAGCCTAAGAACAACTGCTCCAGGGTGCAGTGACCTAGGGAGGGATCCACATGGGTAGTGTGTACAGTGATGGGTTAGACACCACTGCTTGATTTATTTATTTATTTGACAGGCAGAGTTAGACAGTGAGAGAGAGAGACAGAGAGAAAGGTCTTCCTTCTGTTGGTCCCCGCCCCCCCCCCCAAATGGCCGCTATGGCCGGCATGCTACGCCAATCCGAAGCCAGGAGTCAGGTGCTTCCTCTTGGTCTCCCACACAGGTACAGAGCCCAAGCACTCGGGCCATCCTCCACTGCCTTCCTGGGCCACAGCAGAGAGCTGGACTGGAAGAGGGGCAACCGGGACTAGAACCCAGGGTGCCGGCGCCACAGGCAGAGGATTAGCCAAGTGAGCCACGGCGCCGGCCAGACACCACTGCTTTAACAGCATTGACTAGGCATCAGACAGGGCCCCATGCAGGCCCTGAGATAAACACATCAATAGACTGTCCTCATTGAAAGCAGGTGACAGCTAATGGGCCTAGGATTTCTTTGTGGAGTGATCAACATGTTCTGAAATGAATTGTGTATTCACTCTGTGAAGACACTTGGAGCGGGTGAATTGCATGGGATGTGAATTGCATCTCAATGAAGTTGCCAAAAAAGTTAAATGTCAAACATAAAACAGTGAACGAATAGGGGGAAGGTACCCGTGTCCAGACTTATCCACTCTACATTCAGATTCAGTTGGTCTGCAGTGCAGTTCTGGCATTAGTAATTGCTTTTTCAATTTTTATTTTTTTAAACCTACTTGAGAGGCAGAGAGACAGACAGGCAGACAGAGTTCCCATCTGCTGGTTCATTCCTCAAATGCCTGTAATCTGAGAGCCAAGAATTCCATCCAAGTCTCCCACATAGGTGGCAGGGACCCAACATATTGACCCATTGCCTGCTTCCTTCCCGGGTCTGCATTAGCAGGAAACTGGAATCCAGAGTGGATGTGAGACTGGAACCCAGGAGCTCTGATACGGGATTCAAGGCATCCAAGTGGTGTGTTAACCACTAGGCCAAGTCCCCGCCCCCAACACTGGCAATGTTTAAAAGCTTCTCACGTAACTGTGGTGAGCAGCCAGGGGCGAGAGCCACCAAATCTGTTGCATTCTCATTTTATAGCCCTCAGAGGGCCAGTCTGGTTGAAAGGCACAGCAGCCCATCCAGGCTTAGAAAAGCACAAAATGGGCAATTACTGGAAAGACAGCAAAGTCTTCCAGAACCCTTGGGCACTGTATTTGCTCCAGTCTCCTGTCTCAGTTCTGGAGCCTAGAGGTCTGAAACCAAGGTGTCTGGGGGAGACTCCGTCCTTGCGCCCTCAGCCTTGGGTAGCTCCCATCCGTCCTTGGCCTTCCTTGGCTTGGGCTGTTTCGCCCCAATCTGCCTTCACATGGCCCTTTTCCCAGAGTGTCGTCTCTTCTTTAGGGACACCCATCGTTGATTGACAGCACACTCTAATGAGGATGACCTCATCCTAGCTTAACTAATTACAGCTGCAAAGTAATTTCCAAATTACTTTGGCTATGGGATTTTTCCAGATAGGATAGACAGGCATTTTTGAGGGCAGACACTATTTCCTATTAGATTAGACATGAATTTGGGGTGAGGGAGAACACTGTTCAACCACTTACGTGTGTGAAGCTCAGCCCCCCCCCCAAAGAACCCAGGACAAGCACAAAGTCCATGGAATGTTCTTTGCCCCTCACCCCCATTTTGGGTGCACATGAGCCAACCATCTCTCTTCCATGATCTCCCCATGCAGGACCCCAACTTTCAGAACCTCTGTGTCCCAGTTTCAACTCCCAGGAGACTCCGATGGTCCAACCTGGGCCACCCCTCCTTCTCAGGAAGGAGTCCCAGAGCTCACAGGTGGCTCGGCAGGGCACGTGGGAGCCTCCTGAGGCAACAGAGGCATTTGAGCACCGCAAGGCTCCTATGGGCCAGGGGAGCTCCCGCCGGGGCTGAGGCAGCCTCCAGAGCACACATGGAAATGACTGAGCGCAGCTGACCAGGGCCGGGAGAGGACACGGCACTTCGCAGAAGCATGGCAAACTCAGGGGTGAAGATAAATAATGTTTTAGTGTAATGTTTAAAAAATCAAAATTCATGCAGAAAAGCACTCATAATGAACAAAACAGCAAAAGCGTAAATAAAGATGGGATGCTGTGACCTACAGCATAAGCGAGGCAGCCCCACCTGAGAGTGTCCCACCCCAGAGGCCCACTGAGTCCCCCCGAAACTGCTTCCTCCTGGTGGCTCTCGTGCAGAAGTTCAGACAATCAGGCGCAGTGGGGATCCCTTCTTTCTCCTCTCCCCCTGGCCACCTTCCCCAGCTCCTCGTCCTTCCCCTGTGTTGAGTCTTTCTGTGCATTCTCAGGACCAGTGCCAGGTTTCTAGATGGATTTTGCTGCATTTAAGGGAAGAACATCAATGTTTCCTGGCAACACATCAATAAATGTATTAAGTAAGGAGAACAGTAAAGGAATGAGAAAACTGGGCTTTTTGAGCCAGGCTCAGAACCTTGAAAATGGGGTTGTGAGTGCGGGGACTGTGACTGGAGGAGGCCTGGGGCCTTCCTGCCTCAAGGGCTTCTCAAGGCCAAGCCAAAATGTCTCTGCTGCCACCACTGCCAACTGGGGATGCTTAGGTCTGGCTGCAGAGGCCCCAGGCTCCTGCCCCTGGGAAGTAAAAATGGTGTTTCCCTCCCAGAGTTGTTGGGAAAGATTAAACAGTGGTTCTCAGTGGGGGTGATGTCTGGAGACGTTTTTAGTTGTCACAACTTGGGAGAAGGGGTGTCGCTCCTGGCCTGAGTGGGGCCAGGGGTGTTGCTAAACGCCTGCAGTGCACAGAAGGATCTAATCCCAAATCCCAACAGTGCCCAGGTGGAAAAGCCTAATTGGGATGAAACTCTGAAGTCCATGGTAATTTGAACATAATTTTAATGGTTTCTTTGTTAAGCACTTGTCATGTGCTCACTTGGGCTATGAGATTTGCTGCTTCTTCATTCAATAAGGATTTATTTCCTTTGTACCTGTAAATATTTCACATGGAAGCCATTTAATCATTATGACCACAGTGAACCATGTAAAATAAGTGCATCAGAACAGTAGCTAACTTTTCATGAGCCCTTACTGTGCTGCCAGCAGAGAGTTAGGTGTTTCACTTGGTCTGCACCTCTTACAACTTGTAACAACCTTAGGATCATGAGTACTGAGAGACTGGATGCCCAGAGAGGTTGAGGAATGTGCCCAGAGTCACACAGCTCAGCAGAGGCAGGTCCTGGGGCATCAGGTCAGGACTGTGTGATTCTACAGCGGGGGTTCACAGTTATGGTAAGAGCTGTGGGCCAGGGAGAGTGGATGGAAGCCTGAGCTGAGGAGATGGGGGGAGGCAGTAAGAAGCAGGTAGATGGTGGCACTTGCTGGTAGGTGGGCAATGCCGATAGGAAAGATATGTGACACACACACAGGTGACCAGAACTGGCCAGTGACTTGGAAACTGGTTCATAAGCCGGCACAGCCCAGTTCCTGAGTCGGCGGCTTCTCTTAGAGTCACCATGGGTGCTGCCGCAGGGTATCCGGGGGAGGCTGGGGAATGCCTGCTCGGGCAAGAGCTAGACACACACAGATGAATAACCTGGGGCAAGGCTTGTCAGTTTCTCAGGGCCCTGGCCAAGATCTGGGGAGCTGTAGAGGACCCTTAGAAATGCCGCAGTGCTACAGGTGGTGACCTGGAGAGGAAAGGCAGACTGAGGACTCCCTAGGAGAGCCGGGGTGAGCAGGGTGCCCTGGCAAGTCAGTGGGTGCTGGCACTCCTGTGAAGAGGGCAGGGAGGGGCTCCGTGGCACCAATGAATGATTTGAGGAACCAGACCCCTCCCCCCACAGCGCCCTCCATGGGAGGAACAATGCCACCATCATTCGGCGCAGCCAAGGCCAGGATTCCGTGGCTGCTAGCCATGCCCCTGCCCCTCAGGCTCACCAGTAGCCTTCCAGTCAGTGAGAGAAAGCAACCTGCCCTCCTGCCCAAATACAGTTATCCCTGTGTCCATGGGCTCCACTCCCAGAGTCAACCAACCAAGGATCAAAAACATTGAGAAAAAGAAAGTGGTCTGTACTGAACACTTCCAGACGTCTTTCTTGTGAGGTGTAACAGCCATCACATAGCATTTGCATTGCATTAGGTATTGTAAGTCATCTAGAGAGGAGGTGAAGTACATAGGAGGGTGTACGGGTTGCCAGGGGTTAAGCCACCGCTTAGAACTTCTGCATCCCATATCAGAGTGCCAGGGTTTGAATCCTGGCTCTGCTTCCAATTCTAGCTTCCTGCTAATGCATACCTTGCAAGGCTGCAGATGGACTTCGACACAGCTTAAGTACTTGGGAGACCCAGGTGGAGTTTTGGGATCCTGGCTTTGGCCTTGTCCAGCCCCACTGTTGCAGGCATTTGGGGAGTGAACCAGCAGATAGAAAATCTCTCTTTGTATGTGTCTCTATGCCTTTCAAATGAAGTGAAAATAAATTAAAAATAAGTAAATAAAGCACATTGGAAGGTGTGCATAGGTTTTATGCAAACATGGTACCATTCTTTAGAAAAGACTTCAGCATCCATGGATTTGGTGTTGGTAGGGGGGTCCCAGAACCTAGCCTCCCTCCTCCCCCCAGACACCAAGTGACAGCTATATGATACTCTCCTCACCTCTAGTTCTGCTTCCAGATCTAGAAGTTGTCAGTGCCAATCCTAGGCAGGCAGACCTTGCAAGCTGCCCCCACGGTTTTTATTCCAAAGGGGTCCAAGCTGAAGGAGCCCAAAGAAAGCTTAAGATTTTGCCTCTTCAGTTCCTCAGTCTTCATTTCTGGCCATTTTCTTTCTTTTCTGTTCGGTGTCCCTGCCCATGGTATCGGGGACAGGGATAATGTGATCAGCACTGATGACTGAAGTCTCCTGATAAACTGTCTTGCCCTCACCCCAGAGTAATTCTCCTGGCTTCCTGAGCCGCACTTACCGTGTCACTGCCATTTGCTGAGCACTCACCAAGGCCAAGTTCTCGGCCAACATGGCTACATCTGAAACCTCCCTGCGCATTTTATGCGTGAGGAAACTGTAGCTAGAAAAAATCAAGTTGCTTCTCTAAGCTCCCCCAGTGAGCGCAGTGGTAGAGCCAGGATTCCCACCACGTCCCATCAGCTTCAATTTCAAGTTGCACTCAGTTGCTGTTTTGCCAATGCTTTCTTCTTCCCAGAAAAAGAGAAAACCAAGATGCAGAAGCAGAGAGAGGATGAGCTCATCCAGAAGATTCACAAACTGGTGCAGAAGAGGGACTTCCTGGTGGACGACGCCGAGGTTGAGAGGTTAAGGTCAGTGGGCTGCCCGTCCCCCAACGCTGGGCTGCCAGACCCTGACCTTCCACTTCCTGCTCCTGGCAGTCACAGCCTGTATCAGGCATGGCCTCAGTCAACACTCCCCGGACACTGAACCTGAGCGAATCCAGCCTCTGCCGTGAGGGCCCATTTCATGTTCAAGAGAATATCAAGTCCAGCTCTAAAAGGCAGAGGCCTGTGTGTTCTAGGAAGGTGACCAGGAAGTAATCACACCATACAACACACAGCAGAGCTTCTTAAACGTTCCCCAGCTCATCCAGACTTGAAACTACTCCTATCCTCTCTCTCTCTGAAAACCGTCCCTGTACCAACTCACCTGCCCTCTCTACTTCCCAGCTTTTCTTCCTTTCCCTTCCAAGTGATTCCGATGCTTCTCCTACCTATGTACACCTGCCACCGTGATCTGGACAACAGACCCTGGAAGCACAGGGGCTGGGCGTGGAGAACGCTGGGAGGGTTGACTCTTGACTGTTTACTCCCAGCACTCTCCTATGGAGGGCAACATCCTCTCTATTCTCTGTGTCCTCCGAAATCCCTCCCCACAGCCCAGCGACGCGCCTTGCCTCTCTCAGCTGGCTGGGTGACTCTTCGAAGAGCAAAGGTGGCTTGCTCTCTGGCACCTCCCATGTCCCTGTGGTAGCACAGGTAATTAAGGTGGTGTAAAGGTTCAAGATCAGAAGAGGTGTTGCTTGGCTCACCAAACTCCCAGCAGGAGGCTAGGTCCTGTGATGTCCCTGCCTCTGTCCTGGGGTCCCACCCTTGCTCTGGTCAAGTACTTACCCCATCACTGATTCAGAGCAGGTTCATCCAACAGAACACACACAGTCCACATAACATCCATGCATTAGTCACAAAGTTCCCCACACGTAACCTTTTGTCTCATTCCGTTGGTTCCTTGATGTTTTCTTTGCTTACTGTTTTTTGCTTCCTCTCTCCCACACATCTGCTTTCACAGAGAGCAAGAAGAAGACAAGGAAATGGCCGATTTCCTGAGAATCAAGTTAAAATCTCTAGACAAAGTAACCAAATCTTCAGCCAGTAAGTACGGACGTTATTCCTCCTCCTTCCCCATCCAAGAGGAAAGGATATTTCAAGATGTGGGAGCAAGAGAGGCACAATACAGTGCACTCTAGAGATCAAACCTGAGCACAGGACGGCAGCAGGCACCTTCCTTGGACATGTGACCTGCGATGTCACCCAGGGCCCTGTGCTCAGCAGGGCACTTGGTTTCATGTCCTGCTGTTGCTGTCTTGAAATTCCTAATCATTTTGGGTCAAGGGGCCATGCATTTTCATTTTGTGCCAAATCCCACAAACTTTGTTGCCGGTCCCGGCAACAGCTGTCCCTTCCTAATTGTGTGGCTTGGTGCATGTCACAAGGTGCAGGAAGCCCTCCCTGCTGTCAGGAATGAAGCCAGAGCACCCCTCTCAGAATATTAGCTTCAGAAGACACCCAGAGCAAAAAGGGCGTGGTAGGAGAGAAGTTGGGGAAATGGTGCACATTTGACCCTCTATTTTGAGGGTCCCAGTGTCCATTAGGTTACTAAAGTGATAAGGTCCTGCTGTGAAGGAATCGTCTTCTCTTTGTTGACCAATGTTGCTCACGTGTGTTCTGACTGCTGTATTAGTGAGGCCTCGCTCAGTTACAAGACACAGATGTCCAACTCAAAGATTTGCTGGAGAAAGAGCACTAAGAAGTAGGGTCTCTGGGACCGAATGTTATGAAAACTTGCTCACTTTCCTCCGTCTGTTTCTCATCTCTGCCCCTCTGCATGTTTGCTTCATTTTCCCCTACTGCTCAGCCTTCTCCATGGGGCCAGAACCCCAGAACAATAGCTTAGTGATCTCATATCAGTCCCCAGAATTCTTTCTTTGGGTATCTGACTACATAAATATGAAGGGAAAATTTCAGCAGGTACTTCCTGGACTCTGTTTCCATTTCTGAGGTCCACTGTCACGAAGAAGCCAGGTACCAGCATGCACAGTAAGTCCGTAGGAAAAGTGAGATCCACTTTTAAGCTGGAACAAGATCAGCGTGGATTGGCACAAAAGGGTGGGCTGAGAAATTGCCCATGGCTTCCATTAAAAATGTGGTCAGTGAACCAATCGAGGGACATGAAGACTACAGTTGGGCCCCACAGGAGCTTCTTACTACTGGGCGAACTGGATGCAATCAAAGACACTGTGCTGGGCAAATGGCAGTATTTTTGAAAGCACCTTCACCTCTGGCCCAGCAGGCTGACCCACAGGGAAGGACACGGCCGGGAGAGGGCTGCAGCATCCCTGGATTTCAGAGTTGTGGAACTTTGTTCAAGACCAAAGTCTCTGTTCAGTCTAAAGTGATGTGGTGACTGAAGCCAGAGGTGATGCACTTTCACCATAGCTTCATTTTAACTTAAAATCACCGTTCCCTTGCCTGCAGTCAGCCTCATACCATTTTTAAAGTCAATAAGGTGGAAATCAATAAATCTGAATTCAAAAAAAAAAAAAAAACTGATGGCCAGGTCTATGTCACACACCCAGCCCTGCTGCCACAGGGACAGAAGCTGTTATGAGAAGAAGAGGAACTGGAAATCTTGCTGGGAAATCAATAAATCTGAATCAATACATTTTGCTGCAGAAATCAATAAATCTGAAAACTGACTGGCCAGATCTCTAGCACATGCCCACTCCTGCAGCCACAGGAACAAGAGCTGTTTTGAGAAGACAAACAGAAAATCTTGCTGGGAAGACAAAAATCAAAAGCTGCTGCGATCTATATACCCACACCCATGATTTTCACTGACCACCCATTAACATCCTGTGAAAATACAGCTGTGGAGGGTGGGGAGTAAGGAAGGAAAAGGGGCTGAGGCCCTGAAAACTACAAAGCACATGATCCCTGCCTAAAGCCGGGATCCTCAGTGGACTGTCTCTTCCATGAAGAGTGAAGTGGAAAAACTCCACCTTGCTGCATAAAGAAGGAGCAAGTAAATTTGCCTTCTTAATAGGGCTGTAAGATGGAAAATGATGATTCTGGCAAGAAAACAAAGCACATGCAAGGGGTCAAGTGTGAGGCCCAATTACATACCCTCATCTGGCGCTAGAACCCCAAGTTGGAAAACAGAGAACTATTCTAAAACCAGTGAAGTCCCTGGGGCCTCAGCAAGAACACCACAAAACTTCTCAGTGGAGATTCTTCAGCTTCTCACGGCGCACAGCACTGCCACAGATAAAACACCTCCTAGGAAAATGGGCTGTCAGTAGAAATTAAAGACCATGAACTACTGAGCCAGTATGAGAATCAGTAGCTGTAACAAAGAAAATATCTTCCCAAGAGTCAACATAACGGAGCCACCTAAAAGAGATGATAAACTGAATATATTTAAATTATCAAAGACATAGGAGAGGAAACAGAATCCAAAATAAAATAGCAGGATGCCATGAAAAAAGAAAGCTAACTTGGGAAAAATTAGCCTTTCAAAAGAATATTATCTTCACTGAAGGAAAAACTCAGTGGAGTAAATACACAGACACAGTTGAAGGAAAGTTTCACAAATTGGAAAGCAGACATAAGGAAATTGCCCAGAATGTAGCACAGAGACTAAGAGATGAAAACTATGAAAGAGATGAAACTTAGAGGCTAGAATGAGAGAGCCCAACTTGCATTGAATAGGCACTCCAGAAGGAAACCAAGCAGACAGTGGGGAAGTTGAGATTATCTGAAAAGATAATATATAAGTATTTTCCAAACTTGAAAAACATGAGCCCTCAGATTAAAGTGACCTGAACAAAAATTCTCCTTTATTTAGTCACAAAATACTGAGTACCAAGGCCCTGTGGCTAGACTTGGGATATACAATGGTGAAGAAAACTGACTAGGAAAAGGGCAGAAGCTCTGGATGAAAGCTGAGACCTGCAAGCTGGTAAGCCCACAGGAGGATGGGAACATTGATGAGATGTTTAAAATGCACTTGAGCTCTCCATACCACCTGAACAAGGCCTGAGCCAGGCGTAACCAGGAGTTGGAGTGGGGCTGGGACTGCAGACACTCGGGGCCCTCCTCACCTTTCTTTCTCTTTTTCTGTTCCTTTCTCCCTCTGTGTACCTACCTTGCTGCAGGCTCCCGGGCAGAGAAGAAAGCAGAGCCCCCACCTAGCAAGCCCATGGTGGCCAAGACAGGGCTGGCACTCATCAAGGATTGCTGTGGGGCCACCCAGTGCAACATCATGTAGCCCCCACATGGGGTGCCCCCAGGGCCACAGGGGCCCCCTCCCACCCTCTTGTCTTCATAGACCCCATTTCACTGGGGCCCAAGAACTCTCCAAGGTGGAAGGGGTTGAAGGCAAGCCTGTGACTGCCGCCAGGGGCCATGGGTGTGGCAGGCGGGCCCAGCGCCCTGTACAGAGTGTAGCAATAGGGAGTCCCTCACCGTCGCATGGCCCTCCCCAGAGCATGCCGAACCCAGGAGTCTGTCTCACTGTTTAGCCAACCACCAGGAAAGGTCCTCCTTCAAAAACGTGTATCTCCACTTCTATCTAGCTGTAGCTAACCCACCGTGCGAATGAACTGGGAGAGGGGCATGATCCCTAGGTGTGTGTAGTTGTGACTTCTCAACAAGCTAGCACCGTGTTGGACACATCCCCCATCCACCCTCCTAGCTCTGCTGTCAGGCCAGCCTCAGATGGGCATGAGTCCTGCCCCCTGTGCGTCCCCTCCCAGGGGCTGGGTCTGGAGGGCTCCCACACGGCCCGTGCATCTCTCAGGCACCATCAGTAGAGCATCCTTAGACACACCACGCGCCCACCTGTCAGGAATGAGCTTCACATCCCAGCCTGTGTCTGGGCACAGGTCACATCAGGAGGGTGTCCACTGCATCCTTGGCTCTTTCACTTGCTAGGTCTGCCCCAGGTGTGCAGAGCACAGTGGGGGTGGGAAGCCTGGGTGGGAGCAAATCCAATGGTTGGGGGAGGTCGCAGAGAACTGGAGGCTGCAATGTCAGGGGCAGACAGACAAGAAAGGGGCCCAGAGTGGATGCTGACCCAGGTACTTTCCACCCACGGGGACCACTGCAGGGAGTGCCAACAGGACGCCGCCTCACCAGCCCAACACACAGACCTCCGTAAAGAACAGTGACTGGCGGGAGAAGCAGCCTGGCCCCAGTGTGTCCCATCATTTGGTGGCATATTTGAGCCAGCCTCACAATTCCACCTGTGTCAGTTGATATCCATTTACTACAGCCAGCCCGGCACAGCCCCGTGACCTCTCTGTACGTGTGTGTGTCGTGACCGGCCTAAGTAGTTAGCGTAAGATTCGCTGATGTGCAATCATCCATCAGAGAAAATAAAAATGGAAACCACTGTACTTGGCATTTTAAAAGGTTTTACTTCCCCCCTCTCCCTGATTATGGAAGTCATCCATGTACATAGTAAATCATTTTAAAGGTGCAGAAAATACAAGGAAGTTTTTAGTTCTTTTTAACACCATAATTTCTTCAGCTAGAGAACACTTCTGACATTTTGATGCGTTTCCCTTTTGTCTTTTTCTGCATTTCTTCACGATGAGATTTGCGGTACCACCTGATAACCAACTCCGCCCCGCTCACTGTACCCTGCCTTCCCCTGACGTCACCAAGGGCTCCGTAAACATACACTGACTGAGCCAGCTCCTGCATGTGCCAGCAGGTATCCAGCCATTTCTTCACTCTCGGGCACTGAGACTGCTGCTAACTTTCTGGTATCACAAACAACGTCACGACACGCATCCTGGGGAGATAAAGCTTCATCCGATTTCCTGATTTTCCCCCTAAGAGAAACTCCTAGAAGTAAAGTGTTGGGTTGTTCATATGATAGCATTTTCAAAATATTTCTAAATCACAAAGAAATCCAGATGTCTGTCACAGGTGCGCAGCAGCTTTGGGGCTGACCCCAAGTATCTCATAGAGATACGTGGCTCCCTCCTCCTCTGCCTCAGATACGCTCCTGCTTAAGGGCAGGCTTGGCCTGCATGCCACTTTCTGCCATTCTGACCAGTCAGAGCCACCATGGTGGCCGCAGGGTCACCGTGTCCTCCTTTACTGCAAACCACCAAACACGAACCAGACTGTGGGAGTGTCCTGGGGCTGCCACTACAGATCACCTCACACCACAACTGCATCTGCGCGTGCGGCAGGAGGGGAGAAGTCTGAAGCCAAGGGTGCAGTGGTCAGCCGCCGCCCCTGACACCAGCGTGCCCCGTGAGCACTGCTTCCCATCCAGCTCCTTGCTCATGTGCCTGGGAAGGCAGCGAATGCTGGCCCCACCCATGTGGTGGACCTGAATGGAGTTCCTGACTCCTGGCCCAGTCCTGCCTGTTGTGGTTGTGGCCATCTGGGGAGTGTACCAGCAGATGGAAGGATGGAAGAGCTGCCACTCTGCCTTTCAAATAAATAAATCAATCTTAAAAAAAAAAAAAAAAAAAAAAAAAAGGAAGTCTGCAGTCAAGGCGCTGCAAGGCCAGAGTGGTCAGGAAGAACCCTGCTGCCTCTCCAGCTCCTGTCACCCCTGGCAGTCCTCTGTCTTCCCAGTCTCTAACTCCATCTTCACACATCCCTCCCCCCCGGGCACATGTTCCTGCGCCTCCCCTCATCTTACAAGAGCCCACCCTAATCCCGCACAATTTAATGTCTTTTTTTTTTTTTTGAAGAACAAATAACATTTACTATTCACAGACAATATGAGTGTGATGAAGAAAATCCAAAATAATCTGCAGATAAAAATTATAATTTTGAATTGAATTTAATAAGTTTACTGTTAACAAGGTCAACATAAAATCAGTAATACCCCCTATACTGCACTGTCAGTTAAATGGAAAACTGAATTTAAAAAGAGACATTTGCATTTCATTTTAAAAAATGAAAAATACTAAAAGATAAATGCAGCTTAAAACAAATATTACAGTACGGAAATTCGGGAAGAGATGAATAGCAGTGGGAGTGGTAAATACTAGAAAAATTATGAGTATATTGTTTTTATAAAAGAATATTTGAAATAATAGATGAACAAGTTAGAATTTGAGTGAAATTGCTATGCAAAAGTATTAATGTTAATTCAAGGAGAAGTGTGAAAAGTTAAGGATACCTATTATTATCCTGAGGGCAACTATTAAAAATAGCCAATAAAAGAGACAAAGAAGGCCAGCTAAGCCACCGCTTGTGGCACAGGCATCCCACATGGGCACCAGTTCAGGCCCGGGCTGCACCTCCTCCCATCCGGCTCTCTGCCTATGGCCTGGGAAAGCAGCGGAAGACGACTCAAGTGCGTGGGTCCCCACACCCCCATGAGAGACCCAGAAGAAGCTCCCGGCCCCTGGCTCTTGGTTCTTGGCTCCTGGCTCCAGATCGGCCCAGCTCCAGCCCCCTCGGCCACCTGGGGAGTGAACCAGTGAAGGAAAGACCTTCCTGCCTGTCTCTGTCTCTGTCTGTCTGTCTCTCGGTGAGTCTGCCTCCCAAATAAATCAGTAAAATGATTTAATCTTAATCCTACCTTAACTGCTTCTGCTAAGAGCCTATTTTCAGGGAATTTGGAGGAGGGCAGGGACACTGTTACCTCACTGCAGACCCTTCCCAGTGTCGCCCAGCCACTCTCTCGTCCCCGTAGAAAACACGGTTGACCTCAGACCAGTTATACAGCACTCACTCCCTGATCCAACAAGCCAAAGGATAAAAATCCTGCCCCTAGGGCTTCTGCCAAGCCCTAAGTAGACCTACCTAATGTGCCTGCTACTCCCATTGACTTCGTAGAAAACAAAGGCTTTTTTTTTTTTTGACAGGCAGAGTGGACAGTGAGAGAAAGAGAGAGAGAGAAAGGTCTTCCTTTTCCATTGGTTCACCCTCCAATGGCCGCCACGGCTGGCGCGCTGCGGCCAGCGCATCGCGCTGATCCGAAGCCAGGAGCCAGGTGCTTCTCCTGGTCTCCCATGGGGTGCAGGGCCCAAGGACTTGGGCCATCCTCCACTGCACTCCCTGGCCATAGCAGAGAGCTGGCCTGGAAGAGGGGCAACCGGGACAGAATCCAGCACCCCGACTGGTACTAGAACCTGGTGTGCCGGCGCCACAAGGCGGAGGATTAGCCTAGTGAGCCACAGCACTGGCCAAGACAGGCTTTTTACTGGAGAAGAGAAGCAAGCAGTAACTGAAGATGCTCCCGGATCACCAGGGCTGCCTGCCACACTGGGAAACCTTGCAGACTGCGGGGTCCTCCTCACCCAGACTCGCTCTTTCTGGAAGCCACGGGAAAGGATGACAACAGACAGCACACTGATCACTGTGCACTGAACAGCGCACTCACATCAGCCTGACAAGGCAGAGGCTCCTGTAAACCCCACCTGGCACGGCCAGAGTCCCATGTGTTGGTGGCTCCTCTCCCCCGCAGCCTCCAAAATCTTTCTCTTCAGTTCAGCATGTAAGCACCTCCCCACCTGCAAAACCCAGCAAAGACAGAACCCCGTGCAGTTCCGCCATCCCTCTTAGCTGGTAGCCACCGCCTTTCTCTGCGTCTTCCGAGCCTTTCCTCTTTAGACTTGGCCCAAATCTTATTTTATTTTTTTTAATTTTTGCCAGGCAGAGTGGACAGTGCGAGAGAGAGACAGAGAGAAAGGTTTTCCTTTGCCGTTGGTTCACCCTCCAATGGCCGCTGTGTCCAGCGCACTGCACTGATCCGAAGGCAGGAGCCAGGTGCTTCTCCTGATCTCCCATGGGGTGCAGGGCCCAAGTATTTGGGCCATCCTCCACTGCACTCCCGGACCACAGCAGAGAGCTGGCCTGGAAGAGGGGCAACCGGGACAGAATCCGGTGCCCCGACCGGGACTAGAACCTGGTGTGCCGGCGCTGCAAGGTGGAGGATTAGCCTAGTGAGCCGCAGCGCCGGCCTCAAGTCTATTTTAATCTGGTCTCTGTCACTCTCATGACTCCTCTCACCAGGAGTGCATCCCTCTGCTTACATCTGGGGGATGCACATCCGCCCTCGCACTCTGCAGCCCTGACAGGGACTCAGGCCTCATTTAACAGCCAAGACGCTGCGCTCTGGGTGTGCATCCTACAGCCCAGCAGCCCCTGCCCAGTCTCCTTTTACCCTTCCTCCTCCTGACAGCCTGGCCCTTGGCACTCTGTTCTCTTCTCTCTACTGATCTCATCCGCTCTGTGCACATCTTGGAGGACCATCAATACTGACCGGTCCCCACGTTCTCTCATAGGCTGACCTCTCTCCTAAGCTCAGATTCCGTTTCCTGAGGAGGGAGTCCTTTAGATCTACAGAAGGCACATTAAACTTAACAGTCCTAAGCCAGGGACTTAGGGCAGGGTATTGCCAGAGGGCCAAATTCCACCTGCCATCTGCTTTTGCAAATCAAGTTTTATTGGACTACAGCCCCACTCATTCACATACTGCCCATGGCTGATTCTTTTATTTAATTACTTATTTATGTGAGAGCCAGGCAGAGGCAAGGGACAGTGCCTCCTCTCATCTGCATGTAGAGCTTTAGGCTGAGAGCCATGCCCTCACATGGTTTAAAAGCCCCTCTGATCTGGCTCCTCCGATGCCCTGCGCCCCTCTTGCCCCCTCTCCTGGGACCTCTGAAGTCTCCTCTGGGCTCGCTGGTTCTGCTCATCGTGCTCTCTGCTGGGCTTGGTGTGTGTGACTCCCCCTGCCAAGAACACCTCGCTTTCCTGCCAGACTTTGTTCCCTGCTCTCCCAGTCTCTCCTTGCGCTGCTGTGACGCCTAAGGGAAACCAAGCATGGCTGCTTCTCAGGTTACAGCTCTACTGCCCCCTCCGCCCCCCAACCCACCCATCTTCAGAGTCCAGCCTTGGGTCCTGGCCTGCTTTCCAAAGCCCCATGCGGCCCAGCCCCTGTGGCGCTTCCCGCGTTGCACCTGTACTCACACCAACACTTAGAACAGAAGGCAAACTCGAGTCGGAGCAGTCTGGGAGGAAGGCCAGCGAGGCAGTGTCGTCGCGCCAAGGAGGGTGTGTCGCACGGCATCCAGCTTTGCCCGGAGACCATGTGACCTTAAGGACTTTATGAGTGGTGCCCAAGGACTCTGCAGTGGGATATGGTTGGTGCCGATGGATCGAGCAAAGAACTGGCACCGACACTGGATGCATCGGAAGGGGCAGTGCTCCCCATGGCTCCCCTGTGAGAGGAGATGTGAGTAGCTCCAAGTCACACAGCAGGCAGGCCTGGAGCCAGGCCCAGGGAACAGAGGCCTTGCGCTGTCTGCGGAACTGGGCTTCGACTTCACAGGTGTGACTGCAGCCCCATCAGTACCCTTATTCCCTGTTGAGCATGAAGGACTGGAGGTGACTTGTGGCCGCAGCAGTAGCAGAGCCTCTTTTAAAAGCTCCGAGTTCCGGGGTGGCCCTGAGCACAGGGCTGCACTGCAGCGTGCGTGAGGGCACCAGCCAGGGCTCAGAGGCCTGCCACCTGTGGTGCAGTGCCTGGGTGTCGGGCCCAGGCAGAGCACCCAGGCAAGCTGGCGTGAGAACAAACGTCACGTTTCTACCCTTGAACGTGCTTGTTCATTCTAGTTAACGCCACACGTGGCAGCGATAAGGGAACATGGAGATTGCAGCCCTTGTGCAGCCTTCATTCCGGGGAGAGTCAGAGACCTTCACCTGCCTCCCCACGGCCACGGCCACGGCCTCCCTCTCCCCTGCCATGCTGACAGGGCACACAGGCCCCCGTTCTCCACTCACCACAGAAACCAAGCTGCACAAGGCCCCGGGTTGTGACATCACCTTCCAGAAGGCCCAGGGAGCTGGGAGCCACACACAGACGGAGGCTTCCCCCAGCTCTGCTGCCCGCCATCCCAGCACTCACCTACCTTATGCCTCCATCATGAACTAACTTCCTGCTTCATTACAACAAGGCAGCTCTCTGTGTGAACCCCAACCCACCCCTCTGCATGCTGCCCATCAGCTCCATGGCTCCGTCTCCACTGCGGCCGCAGCCCTGCAGGGTAGGAGGGAAGATTTCTCTCCCTCCTGATAGAACGTGGCTGGTGGCCCTTCCTCCCACAGGCACAGCTGCTGCATCAGGTTTGGGCGTCATGAACAATTGTTTTCCTCCGTCCTGCAGAGAGGGCGTGGGCCCAGAGCCGGGGGAGTGGGGAGGGGACATCTCTTGGGAGTCTGCGCTGGCAGCGGCAGGTGCTGGGGGAGATGTGGCTGGGGTAGCGCGGTGGGGCTCGCCCTGCTGCAGGCTCTGTGACCTGCCCGCCTCAGCCTGGGGCATGGTAGCTCTCGGCACTGGGTGCCTCAGTCACCAAAACACAAGCCAAGCAAGCAGGGAATGAAGAGGGGGCATTTCTCACTCCTGGGCTGGGGTGTCTTGAAATCGGGTGACACCGGAAGTCCAAACAATGCCCTCTGGACTCAGTGCCTCTCCATGCTGCCACCTCTGGCTCTGTTCCCTGGCAAAATCTTGTATGGCCACGGCAACAGCACCTGGCTTACTTCCTCCCAGGGGCACAATCCAGCAAATCCAGCAAACATCCTGGCTTGCAGCACGTGCCCAGCCCAGGGCCGTGCTGGGCCAGAGGGGTGCAGTTCTCTGCCCTGGCCCCACTGGGGTCCTCAGGCTGACCCTGGTTCTTGTGCTGCAAGAGAAGAGAATGGATCTAAGTAGCTAAAACCACAGTCTACTGCCTTTTAGAGAATAAAAAGTAGGATTTCAGAGACAGGAACTTGCTTAGGGCCACACAGCAGGTTTACCGAAGCCAGGGCAGAATTCAGAACCCCAGCCTGGTTCAGTGCTCTGCACCCCCTTCTCTGATACCCAGCCCAGCCCCAAAGGCAGCCCCCACTTGCCCTAGGAAGTTTCATCAGCACACTCTGATGAAACTGCCAGTCCAAGGGGGTCCCCTGCATGCTCTGGACTGGGTCCAGCCAAGGGCCGTTTGTGCAGGTTCTGACAGCAACTGTTGACCTACGTGAACCCACTTGGGTCTGTGGCTTCAGGCTCCTGGGTGATGCCTGTCAGCTAGCTCTGACCCCTCAATGCCCCAGTGCTGGTCTCAATCTCCAGGGAACACGTGGGAGCCTGCTCAACAATTTTAACATCCTTTTTAAATGTTGAAATAGGGAGCTGGTGCTGTGGCTTGGTAGGCCAAGCCTCCGCCTGCAGCACCGGCATCCCATATGGGTGCTAGTTTGTGTCCTGGCTGTACCTCTTCAATCCAGCTCTCTGCTATGGCCTGGGAAAGCAGCAGCAGATGGCCCAAGTTCTTGGGGCCCTGCACCCGCAAGGGAGACCCAAAGGAAGCTCTTGGCTCCTGGCTTCAGATCAGCCCAGGGGATGGAAGACCTTTCTGTCTCTCCCTCTTTCTAACTCTGCCTCTCAAATAAATAAATAAAATCATTTAAACAATGTTGAAACAGTTTTGGAACTTACAGAAGAGTATTTCTAGAGTCCCGTGCTGCATAATGAAATTTCGGTCAATGACAAACCATATACACGTGGTCGTCCCTTCATATAGCGTCTAGTGACCCGGCAGCACCCCTGCATGCGTCAGCACACTCTGATGAAACTGCCCAGAGACCTCTCTCAGACTGTGTCCCTGTTAAGAGACACATGAGCATATAAAACCCTGCAAAGAATCCCCGTGTATCCTTCCTTTCACCCAAATTCAGTGACAGCCTTTCGCTACACTTACTTGATCACTTTTTCCGTACGCAAGGATACCTTGAAATGTTTGTGGAGAAATGGAATTAAGATATGTTTAGAGGCAGGTGTCTGATGTATCGATTAAGACGCCACTAGGGATACCTGGAGCCCGTATCAAAGTGCTAGGTGTGAGTCCTGCCTCTGTTGCTGCTCCAGCTTCCCGCCAATGCGCACCCTGAGGTCGGAATCTTTCCATGTGATGGCTGGAGTAACTGGGGGCCTGCCACACACCTGGATGGAGTCCCAGCTCTCCGCTTCTTCCCGGCCCGGCCCAGCCCGGCTGTTGTGGGCATATGTGGAGTGACCCAGCATATGGCTTTTCAAATAAATAAAAACATAAATGAATTGTGGTACCAAAGAATTTTGAAATCTACAAATAGTTTTTGTAATATGTGATTTCCATGAACTTCTGAAGACCCCTATTGCACATGGATTTCAATTTTGTTTTCAGCAAAATAAACATATTTTAATTACACTTTTCCACATTCTGAAGCCCCATGAAGGTCCAGTTTTTTCTGGAATGATCTGACCCAGCTGTAGACCTCATGTCCCTTCAGTGTGTATGAAAGAGCCAGTGCATTTTCTCTTAATTAGGGAAGGACTGTCAAATGCCACTGATGGAATTACTTAGCCCTGAGATGGTGGGTGTCCGCTGTCCTGCTGGTGTCCGTCCGGGCAATTCTGCCCTCCCCCATCCAGGGGCTGGTTCACGCACAGGCTCTTTAGGTGCCCTCAATCAGGACTGGCCCCTTGGCCTTCCTGTTTTGCAGGACACTGACAGTTCTGAGGATGGCAGAGCCTGTTTCTTAAGTTCTGCTGCGGGAGGGTGTGAGTGGGCCCACATCTTGCTCATCCAGGTCCCCACACTTGGTTCTTGCCTAGCACCCAGGAGGGGCTCAAACCAAACCAAAACACTAGACTTAGCAGCTGTGTAGATCAGGATTTCCAGTGCCAGTCAGTCGCAAGGGCAAGGGCTGAACCCTCCAGCCTCACTTCCCCTTCTGCAACTCTTGGTGTGGGAGTGCAGGGCAGGTTAGACAAGGGGGTCCTCAAGGGTCCTTACAGCTTGGAAGCTCCATTGCTGACTCTCCAAAGTTTGGCCTGGAACTCTTTTCTCCCCTTCTAGGATCTGGTTTGACGTCTTTGGCTTCACATGTCAGCCATCCGTTCATCGATGCTTACCAATCACCCGTGAGGCAGAACCTATGATTTGCTTCTGACACATACAACATGGCAGAGCACTGGCAATCACTCTTTGATTGGGTCACTTTATGTAAGGCTCCTCTTGGATTAGAGGTGAGAACCTAGCTTGGTGGACTCAATGGTTCTTTGGTTTCTGTTTTAGTTTAAAAAAAAAAAAAAACTCATTTGAAAGATAGAGACACATAGAGATCTTTCATCTTCTGGTTCACTCCCCAAATGGCCACAATGGCTGGAACTGGGCCAGGCTGAAGCCAGGAGCCTGGAATGCCATCCGGGTCTCCCACACGGGTAGTAAGGGCCCAAGCACTTGGCCCATCTTCCACTGCTTTCCCAGGCACATTAACAGGGAATTGGAGTGGAAGTAGAGCAGCCAGGACTTGAACCAGTGCCATATGGGATGTCAGCATGGCAGGCTGTGGCTTAACCTGCTGTGCTACAATGCTGGTCCTGCCAGTGTCATTTTGGGGAAGTCCATGTGGTAGGGGGACTCGGGCAACGTGTGCAGAGTGTACACAGCTTCTAGCCTCCAACCAGCAGAAAGCCGGGGCCCCCAGTCACACATCCCCAGGGAAATGAATTCCGCCAGCACCCGAGTGAGTCTGGAAGTGGGTTCTGCCCAGTCGAGCCTCCAGATGAGAATGTAGCCCAACTGCCATATCCCGACTGACAGCCGAGCTTTGTGGCCTGCAGACCACTGAAACCACGGGATAATCATGGCATGTTCTTTGCGGTAATTTGTCATGCAGCAAACTAACAGAAGCTGCTACTACTTTAAGCCAGGCCCCAGATCCTGGAGATGTTCTAGTGAATAAAAAGACCATCCCTGTTCTCATGAACCTGTTGCCTCACTGAGGGAAATGACTGAACAATCACGCACACACATGTATTCAACAGTAAACTGTATTTAAAAAAAAAACACCATAAAACATATAATTTCTTTTTATTTATTTGAAAGAGACACACAGATCTTCCATCCACTGTTTCACTTCCCAAATGCCCACAACAGCTGGGGCTGGGGCTGGGGCTGGGCCAGACCAAAGCCAGAAGGAGCTTGCAATTCAGTCCAGGTCTCCCGTGTGGGGTAGCAAGAACCAAGTACTTGAGCTGCTGCCTCCTAGGGTGCCCATCGGCAGGACGCTGGAACTGGAAGCGGAGCTGGAACGTGAACCCAGCTGGGATGCAGGCATCTCAAGCAGTGTCTTAACTGCTGTTCCAAACACCTGCCCCTAAAAGTATACTCCTAGGCACTGCAGAGTGAAGCTAGACAAAGGCAATGCTGCAAAGGGAGGGTACTTGCCTACTCTAGGAACAGAGGCGGCGGCAAGTCAAAGCAAGCTTCCTGGAGAAAATACATTTGAGGTAAGACTTCAGTGATGAGGGAAGAGCCAGGTACAGATGTGAGCACATCACAACGGTCACAGCCAGTATCTAGCCAAATACCCAGGCCTGCAGGTCCCTCTCCAGGGCTTCACTTCAAGCGGCTCATTCAGGACATCAAAGAACCCTCATAGGGAGAGGCTTTTATTCTCCTCGCTTATTCTCTGGGGAAAAGGGGTGGGGGGAGGTGTTGGTGCAGAGGTCAAGCTTGCCAGCTGGGACACCCGCATCTGGTATCCTGTTTGAGTCCCAGCTCGGCTCTCCAGTCCAGCTTCCTGCTAACGTGCATATATGGAGGCAGCAGGGGATGGCTCAAGTAGCTGGGTCCTTGCCACCCACGTGGGAGACTTGGACTGAGCTCCTGGGTTCAGCCTGGCCAAGCCCCGGGCACTGTGGGCACTTGGAGAATGAACCAGCAGATGTCTGTGTCTGTCTGTTTCTCACACTGGAGAAAAAAAAAAAAATGGGGAGGAAACCATCAGTTGGTTAACTTGCCAGTAAGTGGCAGGGGGAGACTCACAGCCTAGGGCCGCGACTGGAGGGCTGTGTCCTCAGCCCTGCCTGGCCTTCCAGGCGTGGGACAGCACAAGCAGGAGGCTCTGCTGCAGAGGGGAGCAGAGCACTGCCCAGAGGCTGCAAGGCGGCAGCTACTGTGGCAGGAAGAGTAGGGGGAGATGGGGACGCACTCGGCAGGGTCAGGCCTCAGCCCAGGTGCGATACCTCACGGGCCACTCATGCAGAGAAAAAGAACAGCCCAGGCACAGCAGACACAGTGGCCCTGGCAGCCACCTGGGGCAGCGACGCTGCAGCCCTCTGGTGGGCATGTCTGCATCTGCAGACACCAGAGCCTGAAGGCAGAAGGATGACAGGGACAGAAGAGAAGGCACTGAGCAGGCCACCTCTTCAGAGGTCCCTGGCTGGGGCACTGCCTCACGAGGAGCCAGGAGTGGAGCAGCCAGCACCCGAGCAGCATTCGCCCCCTCCCCTGCCTTGGTTGTTCTTCCAGCCACAGGGGCTTCCTCCCCCTTGCCTGCCCTGTGCCCAGTGTTCCCCACTGCAACTCCCTTTTCCCAGAACAGGTGAACTCCCTTCACCCTGTAAGAACACTCAGGTCCTCTGGCTTAGAACCACACAAGCTCCATGTCCCCCACACCTGAAAAAAGAGGGGTTCTTTCTTCCCTGCCTGGTCAGGACTTGGTCCCAGATACACCCAGGTTTATTTATATCCCAACCCGAGCTGCTCCTGAGGGCTGCCCGCCTCCCAGGAAGGGACTAGAGCTCTCCTGGGAGGGAGACTGGGCACCCTGCTCTGAAAGTAGAGTGGGATTAGAAAAGACACCACCTTAGTAGCCAGGCAAGTGGCCAGTTACCCTGACAACCCGAGGTAAAGCACATGAGAGCCTGCAGGGCCAGGAAAAGCAGTGAGCGTGACTGTCGGCGCCAACCGCTGTGTAGAGGGACCGAGTCAGGGCTAGGGCTCCTTCCCCGTGCCCAGCACTGACAGGTATATGCAGCCTGTCCCAATCCACACACCTAACAAAGGTGTGCTGGCAGCAAAATACACCCTGCTCAGACTGCCTCTCTGGCACATGGAAGATCTGGCGCTACAGCCACTCGCCTCCTCCACTAGGGACAGGCCAGCTTCACTCTGCCAGGCACCTTCAAAGCCGCCGTCAACCATCTTCCAAGACAGGCAATGTACAAAGATCAGTGCGGTGTTGTGTTGCCACCCCCCTTTTGACCTCCAGAACCACCCTACCCCACTCCAAAGGAGCAGGGTGGCAGCTCAACTTCTGCCAACAGCTGCTGCTGTGAAAACTGTTTTGAAAAGACCGCCAAAGGCCTTGAAGAATGTTTAATGTTGACTTTAAAAGCTGCGCTTCTACTCAAGTCTCTTCTAGGTCCTTTCTGATTCTTGCCAGGGGGGAGGGGCAGAGAGGGGAGAGGAGGGGAAGGGAGAGGGGAGGGATGGTGGCGATGGTTTCAGAAATGGCTTCATAGCCAGGCCCGCGAAGGACGTCTTTCCCACACTGACTGACTCACAGGGCACGCTCAGCAGCGTCAAGAACAAAGCAGGTGCAAAGCGGACTTCTTTCCAGGCAGAGAGGTCCCAGGAATCACCTCCATTTTCTAACGGGAAGGTTTCGGGGGATTTTAACATTGTCCAACCCTTGATTACAAGCTGGAAAGTTCAGTCTTGACCACACAGAGCCTCTGACACCAGACCACAACCATCCACCAGAATTTCCACTAAGCACGACACAGCTCTCCTGTAAGGCACAAGTCATGTTGATGTGTTAGGGTTCACACTGATTAACAAATATCTGCAATTCGAACAAAACAAAGTGTCAGACCAATTTGCTCTTAAGAAGCTGGGGAAACACACATCGAAGCTGAGAGAACTGCCTGGGGCTGTAATTATTTTCCATAAACAGACAAAACCATTCACTTGGAAAACTTCAAATTCGATGCTTGCTTGTAAAGTTTATTGACAACTGTTTGGTCCCAACACACAAAACAGCACTTGAACCACAAAAAAAGTGTTCAAACAAAGTAGACAGTTAAGAAAAACATGTCCTCCCCCAAGCCCAATCCAAAACAAACAGTGCAAGATGGGAAGGGGGTTTGGTGGTGACTTGTGTCTTTTTAGACAGATAAATCGAACCTGGTACAGCTTTCCACCCAGAACGAGCGTCATTGTCTCAATGCTCATACATCATTCCGTCACATCATTTAATTAAGCCTCTGGATAAAAAAATAGATAGTAACTGGACTGGCCACTGTGGAATACAGGAGGAACACAACGTGCTTCCGCATACTCTCACATTCTTCAAACAGCAACGTCTGTCACAACCACGTCCCGGGCAACTGGCAGCTGCAGTGAATGGTACAGAGACACACTCACCAGGTAGCACAGAACTTGTTTCTCTCGTCTGTTGCCCAAAGAACCTGTTCTTTGACACTGTTCCAAGTGACTTGTAATGATACCTCTGTGTTTTTCAAGTCCACAATTCTTTTCATGCTAGCGAAACTGAAGTCCAAGCGTGCAAACTCAGCCTTATGAAAGCTAATAAGGCCACTGATGTGCTCAACACCAACTTTATTACATTAAAAGCTTCTTAAAAAATTGCACATTTGCATTTTACTCCCTGTAACGCTATGTCTGTAGAGGAAATGCCTTCGGGAAGATTCACAGAGTGCCATAATAATCAGAAGGTTTTCCCAGTTGTCCTTCCGTCTTGACTGGGGCCATGTGTTGGAGAATCACTGGCTTCATTTAAAAAGATTCGGGGAACAAAAGTCTAACTCGTAAAAAGCTCTCTATAGCCCTTATTTTGTGGCATTTTATCAAAATGCTGACTACAAAATCAGAGCCCATTTTCTGGCTTTCTAGAAATTACAAAATATAAACATTTCCCAAAAAGAAACCATCTAACTAGTGGAAGACCTTGCGCCAATAGGTTCGTTCTGCTCTATGAATGAATCCGCCTTTTTTGCCCAACAAATACAATCCATTGTAAATGTCAGGTTTCTCCAGGACGGATGAGAGGCCACCCATCAGCGGACACCCCAAGCACCCAGAGAGGAAGGCCATTCCACAGGGCAGTGCCCTCAAAGGCTGGCTTTTCCCAAATGCCAACATCAGACACCACAGAAACCCAAACATGCTTCCTACAGCGAGAAGTAATGAGTACAGGCAGACACGATTAAAAGATGCTGAGCTGACACACATACACACACATACTCACATGTAAAGCTTCCCAGCTGCCAAAACCAGCTTTAAAATCACCAAAACAAGGTTAAGTTGATCAACCTTGGCCTTCATTATGTTTCGAAAGAATTCCTGTCTCCGCCTAGTGGAAATAGTATTACTACCACTCTTGCTGAAGCATCTCACCACTCAGCTCTGATTTGTAATTTATGCATTTGATGCATATTTTAGAAAATCAGACTGACTTCCCAATATTGCCTCTCGACACACAATGATGTGTGTTGTAATTCACACGCTGACTTTAAATTCATGACACCAAGACCATTTCCTCTTCTTAACCTAATCCATTTCAAACTGGAACTTTAACATAAAGGGAAGCTTAGAACATGCTCGAATTCTCTAGAAAGCTCCTAAATGGAACCCCGAAGTGGAAATACTTTTAAAAATCTGTGATGAAGCCACATTTGTCAACTACAGACATAGTTAAATAAAAAACAAGGCACACTTACAAGTCACATGGAGGCCAGGAACTTTCACATTCCAACCTGAAAACACACCCTCAGCTCCTTGCCTATCCTTCTCCTTTGGTGCGCAAACACGCAGGCTCACGGGACAGGCTGTGTTTCAAAGACACTTCATGCATCTGATTAATACTGTTGGAAATATCAGTAAGCAAAGGATAAGAGACTCTTATGCTACATATGGAGAGATCACTGATGTGGCTCAATGGAAGTAAAGCCACTTCCTGCTGAGTTCTCACTGCTTTCTTCTTTGGGAACACCATTAGTTAAGAAAAATTTGGAAAAATATAGTAAGGGTTCTTTAGC